TTATCTTTGTTACTGCCTGTATAAAAGTGAGACAGGAAGTGTGAAAGGAGGGATATTTTGCCCTTTTTTTTCTCCCAGAGCTGCAGAGAGCGGGGACGGCAGCCATGTCTTCTTCTATGATGTTCTATGCTGGAATGGAGAAAGAGAGAGGACAGGGAGGAAGCAAAAAAAAAGGTGTTTTTTGCATTGTGTATGTACTTGTATGTAGTCTGTAGTGTCCAGATATATCTAGCAAGCACTTGTAACTGCGGCTCTAGAAAGGAAAAAAGGGGAGAATCACAAAAGATGGGTGGAAAACACTTTTTATTGATTTGTTGATGTTTTGTTAATTTTTTTTTGTATTAAGTGTTAAAAAAAAGACAAAAAAACACACACAAAAAAATACAAGTTGCTTGGAACGTCACCAATGCCTTTAAGGGGTTCTTAAAGGGATGTTGTGCCATCAAAATTTTTATTTGATGACTGCAAGATGATCTAAAAACAGAATGTTTGTAAAGGCAAGACACTTAAAAAAATGCAGGTGGGATGAGGAGAAACATTTGTGTGGACGTGTACAAATCCAAAAGAAAAAAGAAAAAAAAAAAAGCTTTCTAGCATCCATGACATATTGAGTATCTAAACAACATCGGTGTCTACGGGAGTCAATCCAATGCATGAGATAGATGTACAAAAAAACACAAAGGAAAAAAAAGAACATTTGTAAACATGATCAAACCACATTTGAAACGTACCGTACCTGTCCGAGTTTCACTGGCATCGAAGATCACGTGTCCCACATTTTTTTGATCTTTACTGTACATATTTATGGGAATATTAAAAACAAAAACAAGTCATTGGTTTTATAGAGTAACAAAGATAACAATAGTAATTTTGATATATTCAAATGAGTATTGAATTCAAGATTTAGAGCGACAACTCCAACTGCATTTTCTATAGGTGTCAATATTACCATAACTAATCCTGATGTAATTGTTGTTGTAATCATGTTCACATTTTTCTCGCGAAGAAGAAAAGGGCCCACTTTTGACTGTAACAAAAAAAAAATAGATAAAAAAAACTGTTGTCAGGTATGGTGTGTGTTCAAGGTGTTAATGATTATTAATAAGAGATTATTGATAATCGTTAATGATTCATGTATGTGTGTCGAGCGGTAAAGTCTAGTTATATTGCCACTTTTTTTTTAAAAGACAAAACAATTTTAAAAAGACACTCCTGCAGCAGCAACACCCCCACGATGAACTCTGACCTCCTCTGGACTCATAGGAAAACAAAAAAAAAAAAAAAGAAAAAAAAAAGATTTTACAATTGGGCACTGGAATGTAAATGCTGGTTTTTTATTTATTTGTTTTTAGAGTAGGAATAAGTTGCTCTCAAAAGGAAGCATGGACAAAAAGAGATGTGAAGAGAGACGTGCACAATCCTAGTTGATAAGCTTACTGCTGAGAGGCGCAGCATGCAACCGGTGTGTGTGGAGGAAGAGGAGAAGAAGAAGAAGTGAGAGGACGTGCGTCGACTGAGCTGCTGTGAACGTGCACCGTCTTGTGCCGGCACAGCAGCAGTGACCGCAGCAGCCCGTCCTCACAAATTAAAGACACCAATCAGTGTTTCCTGGTGCACATGATGCTTCTGAACGAAGATCAGATTTTTTTGTTGTTTTTTTTTAAATTTATTTTAATTGAGAAAAAAGAAGAAAAGATAATCACCCTGCTGTTTGTATGACTCAGAAACACCAGCTCAAGACAATTCCCTGTATAACCTACTACTTCATGCTCGGTTGGAATCTCAGTGCATGCATAAACTCCTTATATAAACTAAGACTGGTGGGTTTCTGGGACAGCCTTTGTGTTGGGGGGAACTCGGTGTGGTAGTGTTTTTAGACTGGTTGTTGTCAGTGTCAGAGGTTGTCGGCGAGAGCAGGGAGTCTAAGTTCCTGCGTCGTGCCTGGATGAAAGATGAAGACGAAGAAGCATCACAGGCTCATCTGTGTTTTGCAGAGTTTTCGGGGGGGGGGGGGGG